ATTACAATTTACGTCACATGACTAAAACGGGAGGAATTCCTCCTTTTTCCGAAAATGTCTGAAGTTTCGCCGACAATCGGATAGCGCCCGAGTATAATATAGTTTAATTAACTGCTAACTGCTAATTAATTTTATTTTAAATGAGTTGATAATTCATATTCATTGCTTTCGTTTAGAGAAAACTGTGCGTCAAATATACTGGGATCGTATGGGCAAATTTTTTGCTGTGTTATGTACAATTTTGAATTTGGCGACCGTTACCGAGATTTTACAAAACTCAGTCTTCATTCGGCTCCGCCTGCTAACAGTGCTATTTGGGTGCCTAAGTTTGAAGATTCCAGATCAACATTAGTCAAATGTTATCTTACAGAAACATCAACTGTATTATATTACAAAGAAAGCGATTTATTTAAAAATTTGATCAGAACATTAAAAGCTACAAGCGATAAAGCGAAATCGGAAACGAAGCTCTTTGGACATGTGTACATTTGTACGAGAACTGAATACTCTGAGATTGTTTATGTGACCTAGAAAATAGGCGTGTGTACACTGGCTGTAAATAAATGTAAATTAAAGGTTTTTAAATGATTAGCCTTGGTGCCCCCTTGAGTTGGCCTTGGTGCCCTGTGGAATTTTGATGGGGGCAAGGCCAAAGTGGCCTGCCCCTTTTTTGCCCAAGATCGAGGCCTGCGCTATGCGAATGTGCAGGTCAAATAGGAGAAAATTTGAAACTGTCTTGTGGGCATGAAGTCCCCATGATTAGTGTCACGTGTACAATCGGTAATCAAATTCCAGTAAGGCAACAAAACGGTTAAGGTTCTGCGTGATAGCGGATGTGGTACGGTTATCGTCAAACAGAGTTTAGTTAAGAAGGAACAAATGTTGGAGACAAAACAAAAGTGTGTTCTTCTAGACAGTACACGGAATTTTTCAGTCGTGCGTATTGAAATAGATTCGCTGTAGTTTGTAGGAACCGTGAATGCATTGTGTATGCCAATTCCCTTGTACAATCTTATAGGGAAACATAACAGGTGTTAGAGACCCACGTGATCCTGATCCCAGTTGGTCAGGTAAACGAAATGACACACCAGAACAGAAATGCCAAAGCCCTCGCGACGAGAAAACAGCAGCAGTTGAGACAAGAGCACAAAAGCTAAAGAAAGTCACGAACTTGCGTCATCTTAAAGTTCCCGAAGTGCAAAATCTCTCCAAATCTTGTACGGAAATAATTAAAGCGCAACATGAAAATCCGTTGTTGGAAAAGCTATTGACCCTCGCGGAAACAGGTCAAAGCCGACGAAAGGGTAAGGATAATGAAACTAGGTATTACGTCTCGGACGGATTACTCTACCATGAATTCGCTTCACCGTCGACAGAAAACTATCGTGTCACACAGTTGGTACTCCCAAGGAAAATGCACTCGAAGGTATTGAAGCATGCACACAATTCCACCATGGCAAAGCATCTTGGTATCAAGAAAACAACAGACCGCGTACTTGCAAATTTCTTTTGGCCAGGCGTGCAAGGCGACGTCCAAAGATACTGCATTTCCTGTGACATATGCCAAATAACGGTCGCAAAAGGTCGTGTCGGCCAGGTTACTCTACATGTAGGTAGAATACCTTTATTGATACGCCGTTTAGACGAGTAGCCGTAGACTTGATAGGACCAATTCACGCCATCACGGAACGAGGCAATAGATACATTCTGACTTTGGTCGACTATGCGACGCGCTAGCCGGAAGCCGTAGCCCTATTGAAACAGAATGCGTAGTGGAAGCGTTGTTCGAAATCTTCACTCCAATGGGCGATCCAAATGAAATGCTATCAGATATGGGCGCACAATTCACCTCCGATCTAATAAAAGAAATAGGCAGACTTATGTCAATGAAACAACTGCAAACTACACCCTACCATCCAATCTGTAATGGACTTGTTGAGAAATTCAACGGTGCACTGAAATGAATGTTAAGGCGCATGTGCAGTGAGAGACCGCGTGATTGGGATTGGTATATCCCTGCGCTGTTGTTCACGTATTGAGAATCTCCGCAAGAGAGCACGGGCTACTCTCCCTTTGAGCTCATGTACGGTCATTCAGTACGAGGTCCTCTTACTATCCTCAGAGAGTTATGGACTGGAGAAAAATTAGATGAAGAGGTAAAGACAACTTATCAATATGTCATAGACTTGTGTGAACCGCTAGAGTCTACTTGCGAACTAGCCTGAGAAGAACTCGCGAAGTCCAGTACTCGCTATAAGAAATACTACGACGCGGGTACTTGAGATCGAAAGTTTGATACCGGCCACCGAGTATTAGTTGTCCTGCCAACTGACGTGAACGAATTACTGATGCAATGGAAAGGGTCTTTTCCTGTATTACAGAAAGTTGCACAACGTGACTATTGTATCGAGATGAACGGTAAGCTGCGTACATTTCACACAAATCTCCTCAAAAAGTACATACAATGTAGTTCGATCAGAAACCCAAAACGCACCAGAAATCACCCATGCCATGGCAAGTCTCACCCACGTTAGCCACAGTGTTATCGACGACGAGATCGAAGAAGGAATGATGGAGGTAAAACTACTACCGATAACACAAACTGAAACTTGGCAAGATGAGCAGATCTGTGTGAGTCGAACAGAAGCACAAAAATAGTGTTGGGAATTAGCAAAAACCATTGAGGCGCTCCATATTAATTTTGTTATTCTATGTGCTACATATTTCTTCAGCCCCATACAGCATGTCGTGAATTTCATTGATGAAATTCTGATATACACGGATACTTGGGAGCAACGCATCAAAATAATTCAAGATGTTTTGAACCCCTTGCGCAAGGCTAATTTGACTGCTAAACCAACAAAATGTATGGCCAGATATGATTCCCTTGATTTTCTAGGGCACATTGTAGGAAACGATGTGTAAAGCCACAGCCGGAAAAGATCACAAAAATCCTGAACGCATCTCGTCCACGAATGAAAAAGGAAGTTCGATCACTAATGGGCCTTGTGAATTACTATTGCAAATTCATTCCGAACTTTTCAGCTATTGCAGTACCGATTACAGATCTGTCTAAGAAAGGAAAACCAAATCATGTGAAATGGGAAGAGGCACAGGAACATGCATTGAGCACGCTGAAAGCGCCACTTGTATCTGCGCCTATCTTGCATCTGCCAGATCACAGCAAATCTTACATTCTTGGTTCAGAAATACTTGAAAATGATCGTCTAGGCAAATGGATTACAAAACTGCATACTTATGTACAGGTTAAATGTTACTTGAATGAGATTTTTGTGTGCGTTTAAATGAGCAAGTTTGTTTTTAAATTTTGTCTGTGTGAAAATCTACATGAATTGGCACAAACATCTACACTGTACATTTGTACAGTATGACCCTACATTTTCCACTGCAGATATTTAAAGTGTGTTTGAAACAGATTTTGAGGTTTTTAGTTGATGAAGGGTTACGATGCTCCAGGCTTTAAAATACTTTTAAGAAAGTGCCAAGTTCCATATTCATGAGCAATACAGTGATGTCATGAGCTGGAACTTCGGTGTCACTGCTGTTTAAGGACGGAAAGTTACAAAGTGTTTTGGTTGAGGTTGATGTGACTGTTTGTTCATTGTGCACGAGGCACAGGCAGTCAGTCAGATACTTTAACAACAAACTGCTACGTGTACATAATATGTACATTTTCAATGCAATGAATTTTAGTTTCACAAGTTACACAGAAAATCACAAAGCTGTAAATGTGAAATACCTAAAGCGATATCACAGCAACAGTAGAAACAACTATTAAAGTGTACAGGCATTGTAAAAAGTGCACTGGAAAAAAGATTACAACTTTCTACATGCAGTTTACCATTACTTTCATATAGACATGAGGCTAGGATATTTCCAGGTTTAAGTGAAATTCATCCAATTGCCTTTAAATTCTGTTATACAAAATTACATAAAGGCCCTGAGAAATCTTCACCATGGAAAACATAGTGAACTCCAGGGGTGTGATTGGACAAAAATGAAAAATCCACGAACTTCGGTTGACCTGTAATATACATGTACATGTAATATACATGTACATGTACATGTATTATTGTACATGTACTTGTATAGATGTACATGTATACATATGCATGCACGTATGTCCATATATAGGCCTAGGGCATGTACATTTTATGTACTGTAATTTCTGTAATGTTAGCAAATTTTGTCGCTTCAGTAAAGAAAACAAATGGGGGAAAAATTAAGAAAAAAAGTCTGGTCATTTAATAATATAATCCATATGTGATTGATTCATAAAGGCTTTTTCTGTGTGTGATGTTATTACTTTTGCATGTTGCAGAGAGAAACGATTCACACAAAACAATATGAACGGTGCTGAAAAAGTTTAATCTTACTTTAATTTAAACTCCAGTCCCAGGCTTCCAAAACATTTTTTTGAAATTTGGTGTTGGTGGTGGCTATTTTTCAAAACACTACTGCAGCTCAAACTGATTTCCATCCACAGTGACACTTTATTACCAGTTCTTCCAGCCACACTCATGAATTCCTTGACAAAATCGCGGCAATATTGACACCAATGTGTTTGCGAATTGCTAGCACACAATCGTCACTGCACAATACACACACACATCCACACGCGATATACGAACACGAGGTGCTGCAAACCCATTGAAATTTATTTTTAGTCTGGTCCTGAAGTACTCCACTGCGCATACTGCATTAATGTCTACTAGGTTCTTGACCGCACTGCATTAGACTTGTCACCAGTCCATCCATTATTGTAAATTAGAGCCTATATTTCGCCAGAAGTTTTTGGGCAATATTATTACGGAAACAGAAAACGTTAAAAATCCGGAATCCGCAAAAAAATTCCGCAGGCGTTAGAATAAAAATTCGGAAATCCGGAAAAATCCGGAAAATCACACCCCTGGAACTCTTAATAGAGCACAAACTGTATTATCATTATCGAGAGTTGAATGCTTAGAGAGCAAACTCACCACAAATCCAAAATGTCTTGGGAGGTTTTGGATCTCAATCTTGAAGATCTCTGAGGTGAAGTGCTGTTGTGTCAGATAGTGATAAGGATCCGTCATGGCAGCGCCAGTCACTGGTACGTCAGAGGTGCTGGTGAAATGGTTATCTTGTGGGTCAAGACCTGATAGACAAAAACAAACAAATTTAAAGACCAACTCCAATCAGAGAAAAAAAATTTACTTTGATTTTTTTTTAAGCATGAGATATTTGTAAGTTTAATTATGAGTTTTTAAGTGAGACATTGCACAACAAAATCAGTTCACAATAACAAACAGATCAATAAACTTCAAATTTTGAATAAGAAGCATTCCAAAGTTGAACAGTCTTAATATAGATGTACAACAAATGTATACTGTAACTGAAAAAAATCAGTGCTTTAAAATATGAACCTCTTTGTAAAGTTAGAAATAAACCTGTCTATAAATATCTTAATTTGGACAGTTCCCAAAAATGACCAATTTCTACAGTTCATATCAGCTGCTTTTTTGTGTGTGTAATTAAAAATTCTGGTATTTGAGCTAGTATGGTTTTTTTGATACTTGATACTTTGTTGATGCCTCATAAAATTTTGATATTTTTATTTGCCTTTTTTAATGGGCTTTGTATTAATCAACAAAAGAATGAATCAAATCAGTGACGCAGGCGGAAGGGTCCAGTAAATTAGACACCTACAAAATCTGTATGGCCGCCGAAAAAGTATCAGGCTACAACACCCTGGAAGGAGCACAGCTCATTAGGGGATTATATGGCGTATCTACCCCACCAATAAGGAGGCCAGAATTACCCTACTAACAACCGGTATCTCCCTTCGACAGCAACATATACGACTCCAATACAACAACCCCTACCTGTCAGAAGATGATCAGTCTACCAAGGTCATCGTATCCGATATACCCCTATCAGTCTCCAATGAAGATATTGCACCCGAATTGGAACGGAACGGAGCCAAGCTTCTGTGCTCTGTAAAAATGAAATGTGCAAGAGACTTTAACAGACCCGTTTCAAGACCGGTAGGCATTTTGAGTACATGGCTATCCCTGCCAAACCACTTCCTAACAAACTTGTGAATGATTTTAGGATTTTATTGGCGCTCCCCACTGAAAATATGGCATGAGCTGCCCCCTGCCCCCCCATTGATTTTCGGAGGCCTAAGTGTCAAAAAAAAAATAACCGGTCTACATTTCAGCACGCCTCCCCTTAAAAAATTCTGGATACACCGTGCGAACCCCCCCCCCCCCCCAAAAAAAATATTGGTTCTAGAACCGCGCCTGTGGTTGACACATCACCGAACACAGCTGATGCAATCCGGGTCATTGAATCGGCGTTTCAAAGTCACATAGAGCGACAACCAATTACAGCTCATCCAACCGAGACCGCCAACACTCCCAAACGACCTCAACCAAGCCCCACAACCCCGATCGAGAAAACAGACGACGGAACAAGACAAACGAGACGCAGGAAACGCAGGAAGCGTCACAGCAAGCAGCAAACATCGACACACCAAGACATCCAAAAGAAACAAGCTACAGCAACATATGACACCGACGAAGAGGAGTTCATCAGGTACAAAACGAGCTGAATCCTCTCAACAACCAAAAATATAAAATAAACAAGTAACGAAGTAAATAAATAAACCCATCATGATTAAATCGATGAAATAATGAAAATCTAATCAAAGCTCCTAATTGTTTGGCACAGCTTCTCTCCACATAATTAGTTTGAATGTTCAAGGTTTGAAGGATAGAGGCAAACACCTGGCAACATATAAATGGTTCCAGGATTAAAAAGCCGACATCCTATTTACACAAGAAACACACTTCACAGAAGATACAGCAAATACTCATGATATATACGACTGGCAAAATGGGAAAAGTTATCACTCATATGGCGACTCTTATAGTCGAGGTACCAGTATTTTAATTAGAGATTCAGCTAACGTTGAGGTAAAAGATTCACATTGTGATTCGTTTGGAAGAATATGTTTAATTAATGCAATCCATGAAAATGCATCTCATTTATGAATATTTATGCCCCCAACACTTGCAAGGAAAGAGTTCAGTTCTTAAAAAAATTGGAGAAGTGGATTTTTAAATACATCCCCAATACCAATGAGTTAATTTTAGGAGGTGATTTTAATTGCATACTTAACCACAGATGTGATAAAGAGGGAGGGATTAAATTACGAAAACAGAATACAATTTCACTGATAGATTTGTGTAAAAGGAAACCTTTAACAGGTATATGGAGAAATCAACATCCAGATACTTACCAGAACTTTTAGAATAAAGAATCCCAGTGTAAAAACACGGATTGATTACTTTCTTATTTCAACCTATCTCTGTTGATGCAGTTACTTCGAGCGACATACATACATAAGACCAAGTATTAAAACCGATCACCAAGCGATTTCAGTCAAATTAGCTAGCAGCAAAGCTCGACAAGGGCCAGGCTATTGGAAATTCAACAGTTCCCTTCTTAACGATAAAACCTTTGTAGATAAAATGAAGTCATATTTGCATGAGTTAACAAATAACTTAGTAACGGAATTTGAAGATCAAAGATTCTGCTGGGAAATATTGTAAATTAAAACTTAAAGAGTATGCCATATATTATTCAAAAAAGAAGAAAAGGGTGGAAGATACAGTAAAAGAATTATTAATAACAAGGCTGAAAAACATGAATGACTGTGAAGAAGAATCAGATGAGCAAAACAAACTTCAAACAACTTTCGAGATAATGTACGAGAAAGAAATATCAGGACAAATGGTTCGGTCTCGAGCACAGTGGTACGAAGAGGGTGAACGAAACAGTAAATACTTTTTGGGACTTGAAAAGCGTAACGCATTGAGAAAAACTATTACAGAATTACAGAATGAAAATAATAAAATAATCAGAGATGAAGTTGGCATACTCAATGAACAAAAAATATTCTACCAAAGTCTGTACTCTTCAAACAGCGTAGAAATAAATGAAGTAAATCAATACTTAGATGATACTCAGTTTGATTTTGTGTTAAACGAAGAACAGAAAGAGGAATGTGAAGGGGTTATTACCGAAGCAGAATATGAGAAAGCACTAAAAAGTTTGAAAAAGAACAAAAGTCCCGGAACAGACGGTTTAACAGTAGAATTTTACCTTGCATTCTGGAAGCAACTAAAAAACCTCTTTGTGAATTCAATGAATAGAAGTTACCAAGAAGGGGAACTTCCGATATCCCAACGCCGTGCTATAATATCATTACTGTATAAAAAAGGTGAGCGAAACAATTAAAAAAATTGGAAACCAATCAGCCTTCTAAACATTGACTACAAAATAGCTGCCAAATCATTAGCAAATCGACTGTCAGGCGTTATTGGAGATATCATTCAATGACCAGTCAGGCTACATCAAAGGATGATTTATCGGAAATAGTGTCCAAAGGTTTAATAATCGATGATGTTATTCATTTTAGCCAAGAGGGTAATAAAAATACTGCAATTCTCTTTTTAGATTACGAAAAGGCTTTTGACACTGTAGAATGGAGCTTCCTGATAAAAACACTAAGAAAGTTTAATTTTGGAGATAGCTTTATCAGTTGGATAAGAAAAATGTATAAAAACATTCAAAGTACAATTATGTCTGAATTTTTCACATTGAAACGTGGGCTTAGACAAGGTTGCCCTCTCTCAGCCTTATTGTTCCTAATCGTAGCAGAAGTTCTCGCAAACAGAATAAGAACAAACCATGAAATACATGGGGTACAATTACCAAACAAAACAAACCTTCGTACATGTATCTCTATGTACGCAGATGATACCACTCTTTTTATGTCAGACGCTAAATCAATCAACAACGATCTTGACGTTGTTAAAGAATTTGGAAGAATAGCACGTCCAAAACTGAACCTTCAAAAAACAACAGGACTTGTTATTGGCGATAATAATCTGGACCAGAATCTCCAAGAAACAATCAATTGGCAGCAAAAACTAATCAAAACACTAGGCGTTTACTTTGGAAAGAACATGTATGAATGCTATGAATTAATCTGGGAAGAAAAAATAACTAATTGTGCAAATTTAATCAACCAGTGGAAAAGACGCAACCTGACACTACCAGGTAAAGTAACCATTGTAAACAACTTGGCAATACCAATATTTACCTTTCTAGCATCAGTTATTCCAACCCCACAAAAACGAAATACAAAAATAGAAAATCTGATTTTTCCTTTCATCTGGCAAGGGAAAATAGATAAGCTTTCAAGAAAAACTTTGATTCGTGGTTTAGATGAAGGAGGTCTAAATCTAATTGACTTTGAATCACACCATGCAGCGCTAAAATGCAACTGGATCATTATTAAACTGATTAACAAAATAGCTGGTAAATGGACAAGCTTATGTGACTACTTCCTTAATCTATGTTGCCCTGATTTAGCTGTCCTAAATATGAACCTTAAAAATACAAAATGTTTTTCAAATCTTCCAGGTAAATTACCGCAATTTTACAAAGAGATAATACTCTGCTGGCAGAAACTGAACAAACAAAAGAAAACGCAAGCAGATTTATCCCAAACTGAGATAAAGACACAAATACTTTGGGGTATTCAACACATAAAGTATAACGACAAACCTTTGTTCTTCAGAAATTGGATCAAATCCAATATCATTTATGTAAATGACATTTTGAATGAAAAGGGCGAACTCTCCATCAGGTATGTGAGTCGTAACCTAATTAGCAAACAGAACTGGCTAGTTGAAATGTATATACTAAAGAAGGCCCTACCCAAAGAATGGTTAACAAAACTCTTAAATAATGATAACATTCCAACTGAAAGGCATGTTCATATCAGTGAAAAACTCGGTAAGTTGGAAAATATAAACACAAAAAAAATGAATAAGATTTTACTCGAGTATAAAAGTAAAACACCTGTCGCACAAGAGCGTTGGAACGAAATACTGCAGACTGAAGGACTCAATTGGAATTCAGTGTGGAAACAAAAAGTAATGAATGTAAAAGAAGCC